AACGGTGACGGGTCTGTAGCGTTGTGACAGGTGCGCAACGCCAGCAATCAATTGGGGGCGTTGTAGGGGCCGATAGAAGCGGCGCAAAAACGAGGGTCCTCCCGAGGATTTGAACCCGGATCGCTGGATTCAGAGTCCAGAGTGCTAACCATTACACCATAAGACCAGCACTAACTCGCCAATCCGCAAACAAAATTTCAAACGCTTTCCTAAAGCCCCACACGACAGCTGGCGCCATCGCTACATACTATGCTTGCAACGCCGCACAAAATCAAGCTCCTACCGGGATTTGAACCCGGATCGCTGGATTCAAAGTCCAGAGTGCTAGCCATTACACCATAAGAGCACCTAGCCCAGACACACCACGCCCAATCCGCAAACCTCTCGAATCGCACGCAATTCACGTATTCACGGACATGCCATATGTGCTGCACATACCCCTTTCACATATCATCGTGCTCCTACACTTACGGCCATGCTCGCATGCTTCTTTCGCCACCCGGCTTGCTTCAATCCCCGCCTCGAACCATCCGGTTGCTACTCGCTTTGACGTCGCATTTCTTCGTGTTTTGGGTACCCACGGGATCTATTGTTCTCGCGGAAGGCTGCGATGAGCTCTCTGGCTGTCCTGGAGAGTTAGTAGTGCAGTTAGCGAAATCGGCAGTTAGGCTTGGTGAGCTCTGCCAGAGCAGCAGCTACCACTTAAATCGGCAGCGGATCGCCGGGACACGATACAACACACCATGGCAACACAACGTGACGCGGCTGTAGCGTGTGGCAGGTGCGCAACGCAGCAACAACTGGGGCGTTGTAGGGCCGGTAGAAGCGGTGCAAAACGAGGTCCTACCGAGATTTGAACCCGGATCGCTGGATTCAAAGTCCAGAGTGCTAACCATTACACCATTAGAGCACCTAGTTCAGCCACAACACGCCCAATCCGCAACCCGCTCGAATCGCACGCAATTCACGTATTCACGGACATGCCACATGTGCTGCACATACCCCTTTCACATATCATCGTGCTCCTACACTTACGGCCATGCTCGCATGCTTCTTTCGCCACCAGGCTTGCTTCAATCCCCGCCTCGAGCCATCCGGTTGCTACTCGCTTTGACGTCGCATTTCTTTGTGTTTTGGGTACCCACGGGATCTATTGCTCTCGCGGAAGGCTGCGATGAGCTCTCTGGCTGTCCTGGAGAGTTAGTAGTGCAGTTAGTGAAATCGGCAGTTAGGCTTGGTGAGCTCTGCCAGAGCAGCAGCTACCACTTAAATCGGCAGCGGATCGCCGGGACACGATATAACACACCACGGCAACACAACGTGACGCGGCTGTAGCGTGTGGACAGGTGCGCAACGCAGCAACAACTGGGGCGTTGTAGGGCCG